TAATTATATTAGCAATACTATATGATTGTCATGTTTATTTACAGAGAAATTTGCAGCAAGTAAGAATATTCTAAGATACATTTACATAATTATATAATTATATAGAAATATCAACATACTTGAAATAGAATGATCGTTGTCAAAATACCATAAAATACAATTAATTGAATTCGAGCAAGTTTAGATTGTTGATAAGGCCATAGACCAATAATGATTAACAGTGTTCGATTGAGACTAATGTGTAAAGAATCAACACAGATCATTTTTTAGCAAGCATCAAGCTGTATATGATAGGAACAATCGGTTTATTTCCTACCATCTTTGTTGAATAATCGATTAAACTTTCTATAATTTCATTTTTTTCTATAGTTTTATTTTTTAACATAAATTTTCTAATGTAATGTAATATATAATGATATATAATAACAAAACATCATCCTGATATCGGTTTATTCATAATTTAACTGCTTTTCCTGAAAATTGATCGGCGATTAAGTGTAATCAATGAAATGTTGTGAATTGAAGACAGATGTTCATTTCTTATAGAAAAATGCTTGCAAATATATTTCTTGGATTAAAGAGCTGCATAAGCGTGTGTATCGATTTTCAGTATTACATTTAATCGTATTCATTTGTTTTATAGTATGTGTTTATAAGTTATATTTTAATTTCTTAGAAAAATAATAAATTTTATTGATATATTAATTAATAATTTATTAATATATTAAATATATTAAAAAATATATTTTTGTTTGTTATCACGCATATTATTATTATTTTATATGCTTTTATATCTATTCAATTTTTACATTCTAATCCATCGACATTTTATCCATTTTATTTATTAATTCCACTTTTTTTTAAGATAATAGGTAATATCATTTATACAAAATTAATTTTTTACATGTTATTTTACAATATATCGAATTTCTTTAATTGATTTATTTTATTAACATTTATTAACGTTGCGTAGAATAAAGGACGGTAAAATATGATAATATGGCACTGAACATCTGCAATAGAAATTTGATCTTTCTTATTTTATTTGTTTAAAGTATATTATATTTAATCCATGTTTTAATATATATATATTTCTTACTGTAGCAGCACCTTCTAATGATCCCACAAATAAACCAGCAATATTTAAATTGAACTCTTTGGTTCTTCTTTGCAAAAGAAATAAAATCATCTTTTGTATTTGCAATGGAGTTATATACCACTGAATGTTATACCTATGTGCAATAACAAATTCAGGATTGTAAAGAAATAAAAGAATTTCAGAATAATTTTTGCCAAGTACACATTTTTCTTAATTATATCGATTGTATTTATTATTGCAATATTCTAAATATTCCAAATATGTATTAATGAGTTATTTAAATATTTTTCTTACACGGTGACATATATATTATTATTATGATCTATAATTTCTTGTGCAAGATAATTAGCAGTCAATATGTATACAATTTCAATGATTATAATCATAAAGTGAAACAAAAGTTCCGCAATTTCATATTCGGAGGACATTGTTTGAAAAATCTAAAATACAAACGCATATGAAATATTAGTAAAAATTAATATCAATATGATGTAAAGATAAATGTCAATAAAATGTTAAAACAAAATAATTAGAGTAAAAAAATTTGTTCGACTAAATTAATTTTGTTATTGTTATTTATATATACATATATTGAATAATAGAAATACTTGCCCAAAAAATATTTATACTTCCACAAAGCACAGCAAATATTATCAAAACGCAAAACATTACTTTAAATCTAGATATGATCAATTCAGAGAATCTTTAAGAGAAAAGACGAAAAACATTATGTCATATACCCTCTCTGTGTACTCTACATGTATTATCGATTAATAAAAATAAGGTGACGGTTTTAATTATAGATTCAGTTTTAATTCTTATTAGGTCAAGTTTACTAGCTCTAATTAATATTAATTAATAGATTATA